GGGCACAGTGAAAGAAACTCTCGTCTCCTGCCAGACTGTACCCGAAAACTGTTCTTCAGTTATTTGACCATCCGTAATCAGTTTGTGCTGCAGGAAGTACAATCCATATGACTGAAATTTGCCAGGGCTGGTATCAAACCTCAGTGATTGACTGCTCTTCTCGAAAAGTATCACAGAACTCCTAAGAAATCTTCGTAATTCTTTAAATGTAATCATTGCCATTTTTCCTTCCCACTCTTATTTAAGAATATTTAATTAAATCCTTACTGACAACTTCAAAATTTTAAATTCAGATTAACTCAATCACAAGCACATCATCATAAACACAACATAATAGTTTCCTGCGAGTCAGAGAGTTCTAACTCTCCCCATATTCCTAAAATAGTTTCTTTTCTTGCAACACTGTAAATGTACAGAAAGCGTTTGTCTTTTAAGTTTACTGAATTTTCCTCAAAGCTGAATGCCAGTCCTCCCTTTACAAGCAGAACGTGAAAGAAATGAAAAATCAGATCCTTTCTTCCAAAGGGTACTCTGCCCCAAAAGCTACTGCTAGCTCTCTGCAATAGTTACTACCAGACTCCTTCAAAAACCGCTTGTGGAAGGGTGTCCCATAAGGATATTACATCATCTGGTGGCTCTTTCTGTCTTGGCATCTTCATCACTAACCTCATCAAGAACCGACACCACTGAGTTCACAGAGCACTAGACATCTTATATGACCCTTTCTTAAAGGTAATCATTGTAATGGATATTGTGACATTTAGTGACAACACTCTCTCATTCATGTCACAGGCCAGATCCTAACACAGCATTAGAAGACTATTTTGGTTAGATTAAGCAAAAAAACCTGCCTTTACATCTTGTTGATCATATATCTGTGCCAAAAGGTGTCTCCTCTGGGTTCATATAAAAAAGTATCATGAATATGTTGCTATAAGATAAGGAAAGCCCTTAGAGCAAACCTAAAGCTCAGTAAAGCTCAACATTATTAACATTATTAAGCATTATTTCCATTTTAATCAATAGCTCAATAACTAAGTAGTTCTCTGAGTACAGTAATTTTTAAAATACCAGACTACTTTTTATATTTGGTGACACATTTTCTTCTTCAATCCAGAAAGCACATTTAGAAAAGGACGTGTATCTAAAGGAGGGTCTGTTTTTAAAGTAAAAAAAAAACCTATAGAAGTTAAAATACAAAAATCTTCTAAAAATGAGAGAGTAAAGGCCTTCCCATGCATACATTTTACATGACAAAAACAAAGCTGATGTGGTTTGAACGGCTCTACTGCCTGCTAGTGACCTGCTTTCCTGCTCCACCAATTCCAGCAGTCAGCTATTACAGATCCTCTGTTACCTGTTTCCTCCAATGACCAAGAAACTTTGTCTGGAATATAGAAGTTGCTGAATGCTGCAGATTAAACGGTAAGAGAAAGTACTGATTTCAAATAAGCTCCAACTCGGCAGGACAGAGGGAACTTCACTGCCCTGCAATCCTGCCCTCCAGCCGCCTTCCCCTCTCCTTGCCTGCACCAGCCCCTGCTGCGACCCAAAGAGAAGCGGAATTCCTCGGCTTTTCAGCAAAGCAGAAAGGCAGAATCATAGAATCATTAAGGTTGGAAAAGACCTCTAAGATCAGCGAGTCCAGCTAAAATATTCTGGAGCCCTGGCATAGTTAGACCTTAACCTGCAGAGAGGGTGCATTTGATGCATTTGATGACAAGCAAGGACAGTAACTGTACACTCATCTACTGCTTTAAGATAGTATCTAAAATTTAAAATAGTGAAATCCAATTATAGAAATTGATGACGCAGAATCTACACCAGTGGGGGGAAAAAA